AGCAGCAGTAAGGACTTGTCGCGCGGGTATTTCCCGCTGCCGGCGCCTTCGGAATAACGCGGGTAAAACCCGTGAATATACGACATCGATCGCGAGTCCCCCTTACTGCCTACGGGTTTGGTACGGGTAAAGTGGTCAAATCGGATATTCGCCTAAAAGTCCGTAGAGTTGGCTCAAATAATTCCCGCTGCCGGCGCCGTTACSTGGGGGCAGGTAATCCCCGGCGTATTCCGAACAGCAGTCGCGAGTCCCCCTTACTGCTGCTGTATATAAGGGTAGGTCATTTAGAAGTGCATTTCATTATATATTCCTCTTAACGATTGTCCATTAACTTTCAGTTGATTGACGTTTCAATGATACTTGCTGAAGCCATCCGCAGAACTCATAATGGAGAATCTGTCTCCTATTTATTCAATCATGTTCCACTTTGACGCTCGTAAAAACCTCAACCACACACTGATGGTTCCGCAAAGTTTAGCTTCACAAAGAGCTAGTTAGTTTAATACAAAATGGGATTCCTGTGTAGCAGGGAACCACAGCCGTGCTACAGCGCACTCCATAAAGAACTTTATAAAAACAAAACATAATATTAACCTAACATATCATTATATTAGTCATATTATTTAATTAATTTAAAAGCTTTTATTTGGCTTTTTCCTATGACTGCTGAGCTGCTAGCCTGTGTGCACTAACTCTTGACATTAGGCATGCTCGAAGTATTGTATTTGGTCGAGCATGTATAACAATCGAGTGGAGTGCATGTATCTTTGCTATAAATATGTGGTCATGTTTACATAGTACCAGCTACTTGAATTGGTGTGCTCTCTTCTGTGTTTTCTTTATTTAATATGATAAAATATATTGTTCCGTGTATAGCATTGATATCACATCTAATCTTTGCAACAATAAATGTTTTTTCTTTGAACCTTTTTTTCTTTTTTCCCATAACAGATAAATGTTTAGGCCAAATTCGATGAGAAAGAATCGGTGAAACTAATATCTAATAATTATTGCGATTTTTAGCCGCCATTAAATGCTTTGCACCAGCACGTGATGGCAGCCATGACAGGAGGCAGTAATAATACATATATTCTAATCTGATCTGATTTACATGAGAAAGTATTCAGTTTCTCGGGAGGAAAAAGACTTAGTTGTTGTGCCTCCTGTCATGGCTGCCACCACGTGATGGGGCAAAGCCTCTATTCCAACATCGTTCGCCACCTTGAAAAAAGCGAGAAGAGAAGGCCTTTGGAACGAGTTTGCCTCTATTCGGGTTTACATTGACTGCTAGTTGAGATAAAATATATCCCGTATTAGAGTTTTCCGATTTAGCACCTTTTGTGACAATCCTAAGTTTATAAATGCGATACACAAATATTCCTTACTCTCCTGAATGAAGCCTGGAGGGAAGCGAGTAAATGACGATAAACTGTAAACTTCCCTGCCATCTTCCCTGTTCTAAGAAACCGCTTTCGTACCCAGCTGAATAGATTACTTAAAAACTAAGGCATGCAAATATCTGTCGCATCTTCGTTCTGTTCTTCTGTTGCCAAATTGCTTTCATGACTCTGAAGAAGCTACCTTGCTGCCAGTGACACTCTGCATGGGAAAAAACCACGACAAGAAAAACACGTAAACACGTTAAATCTATACTGTAGGATTTTTTTGGGTCTCTCCCTAGAATCGAGGGGCTTTCTCTGGTTTTCCTCCGAAAACCATGTAACCTCTAGCTTGGGGGGAGGGGGGGGGGGTTGTTAGGGTTTCCCATGTCATAGCACTCGTCATTCTGATACGTTGAGAATACATTATTTCGTTTGAGTTGTTGAACATTACACTCAAGTTTAAAAGCTTGGTGTTTGAGTTAGCCATCCCCTGAGGAGAAAAAACTTATGGGGGAGGGGTGGAAAGCGCCTGTACACAGGCTAGTTAGTGCCCGGCTGAGCGAGACCAATATGAAAATGTATGCGCATTGCACTATAAACTGGTTACAATTAGTGGTTATAACTTGTTTGGCAATCTATATCACTGTAAAAGGCACGCGCAAAGAGAGTAAAGTATAGGACTTACTTCGATCACATCTCGTTCCAAAGAAACCAGTTCCGCGACACATACAGCGGTATTGGGTCTCGTTGAGCTGCGCACAGTAGCCACCATTCTGACATGGATTAGGTTTACAAGGATCCTCTGAAACAATACACAGCCATGATATGTTAAGGCAAATAGACAGAAAACAGGAAGGAAGTACTAACTGTGCGCAAAGTAGTTGGTATCCATGTGTCGTGCCCGCGCTTCTCCTTCTCTTGCAGTTGTTTCACGCTTTTAACACGTGCGTGCGTAGTGATGTATTGTTTTATGTTGTATTTTTGAAACCCTTTTCCAAACAGTAAGATAAATTCAGTACCGTGCTACGTCCCTTCTGAGGGAGCACCGTCTTTAACCAATCCGGCAGAGTTATCAAGATGCTCTTAAAGACTTAGAGTGTATTGGTATGTTAAACCGCACGGTACACAACATCACCCTGTACGGAATTGACGATCCTCTCAACCAATCACCGCACTGCGCAAGAAGCACTTATGGCGTAAAGGGCTCATCTCTCACCAATGAGACCAGGGATAGATGCCAGGCTCGGGGTTGTATGTGGGTAGAATATAATTCCTTGTTTGGGTTATTTAGTGTTCTTTGAGGGCCTTCTACATAACAAACCATTCTTGCATTAAGTTAGGTACTTACTTGGTTTATTGTGAGTCAGGCAACTGGACAGTTTCTTGTACTGGAAGGGATTTTGACAACAGAACACAGCTCTACTACACCGGCACACACCCTTGTAGACACTACAACCTTTGTAGGTATTTGTGCATTTAGTATTGTACGGCAGACATTTGATCGTTTTACCATGATAGGAATACCTCGCTTCCGTCCACGTCACTGGAAGGAAAGGGAACATTTTCGGTGAGATATAGAACACAAATGGACCCTTTTTAAGATTGCCGTGAATAAGAGTCTAACATGAAAATACAAAAGAAATGCCATAAATTCCATCGAGAAAAAGTGTGATTTCCTTTTGTATTTCCTTGTTAGTCTCGCATCCAAGATGCTGTAGAGAAGAGTTCGTTGAACGGCTACGTGCATGCGTTGGGTATTAGTCCGTTGTAGTTATCAATATATTAGTTATAAATATGGAAAAAAGACAACTCTTGTTAAGAGCTAAAGTATTAGATAAAGGAATAATAAGAAAACTATGAGAAAACGTCATTGGGAATTTGGGAAGCACGGGTGGTGGCTAGTAATGCGCTGCATCACCAATGCGACCCGGAATAGAATTGTTGTTTTGGTTCTCTCCTGTTTTTGAGGGCCTTTATCCGAGTTTTCCATTTTTTCTCAGTCTTAAAAATTTACTCCAAAATTTCAATCAGTTTAATCCGGTGTAAAATCATGATTACATGTTTACATTTACAACCCATGCCAAGGAAAAGTTGCATTAAAGAAAATCAATCAGAGCTGAGTAACTAATATTTTTTAGGGTAAAAATTTGCATGAACACTATGATTATAGGCTCATCGGTTTTTCCGAGAATGTTCGCATTCATCGAGTCAAGAGAGCGATAATAGCTTGGAGTCATTGGCTGAAGAAATAGATATCGTGATGTCATGCATTGCCATGAGTTGGGCGGAGATCCGGTTATGACACTATTACCAAAACCCTCAGATTGTATTTGGAGAGAATGAAGACCTTAAAATTGTTTAAAAACCTTTATCTAACTAGAAACTATTTTAAAATGTTTGGAAAAGAAGTTGTACGATTTTTTTTTTACATTTTTCAGAAATATTAGCATAAATCTTAAACCGGCTTTTTCAGTATATCCTTCTGTAAGAGAGTATCTATCCAGCAATTAATAAGAACGCTACTCCTTTTTCCCCGGCCTTAGTTTAAATCTTACTAGCTAAGACATATTGAATTGTATATTATCAGCTTAATCAAACCGATAGTTCCTGATTATGGCTTTATCCATTGTACTTGATACTTGCCTCTCAAAAATAAAGTCAATACTCCTAAAAAGTATTTCCATGCAAAAGCAAAAAAGAAATATATAAATAGTAGCTATTTACTTACCCATGGACACTAGAGTGACGAAGAAAGCTGCGATGAACAAGGAAGTCTTCATTGTCAGTTTTATTGTAGTTCTGTGCGCGTTCTTCAGGATATTATATCCTTGACGATCACTAGATGCTGTAAAGTGTTTCTACTGATATTCATTATGATTCTGGTCTTATATAAGCGAAGGTTAATGGCCCTGGCTTAGACCCAGTATTATTTCCCACAACAAGCTGTCAAACAGAGACTCGACGGTACCACAAATGTCCTTTAAATAGGCATTGTTTGAACGTATTATTTGTACAAGATGAAAGACACAGGGTGGAGGAGAGAGTGTGTCATTAGGACATCTGTACAAAGGCATGTGGGATGGAGGTATTAATTACCTCTAAAACATTCCACAGATGAAAACCTGTGAAGTTCAAAAAGAAGTTACTAACATTGGCTCGTGCGGTAAAATAAACCTTACTATGTACAAGCTGGCTCTCTGATCAAGATTGACCGGCTTCTTTTTAAAGTAAGAAACCCCTAGTCTAAGAAAGTTTTCAGTGAAGACAATTTTTCTTTTATTGTAGTGATTGAAGAACCAAAAGAAATTATGCCAGTGGATACTCCTAACAGCCAATAACATGACCCCCCGCCTGAGCTACAGGAGAGTGAGTCCATGAAAGATGAAAAAGAGATAGATTACCCCACGACATAATATTGTTAAGTATTTTTAGAGCGTGGCTTCCGCTTTCCTTCCGTGAAGACGTCAGAAATACACGTCAAAATATCAAATCCGTATACAGTGCTCAAGATTCCGATAGAGAATAATAAAGATAAAAGAAAAATGAGTATATTGTTTAGTCAAGTTTTACCTTCGAATTCATTGGTTGAGTGTGGTTTACAAAGTGACCTCAAAAACTCATTGTACAATATGAAACTGTCATGTTTTTGGTATTCATAACACAGTGCTGTTTGGATACTGAAGTATATATACTGTACTTGGTTGGATCGAATCCAATTCTCTGGCGATTAGTACACTGTACAAGCGAACTTAATACCACATTAAATAAAAAAAGGTTTTAAAATTTCTTTGGAAAACTTCCAGCATTTTCTTTATCAAAAGTAAGCGTAGTCCCGGCTCCTACGGGCACTAATGAGGCTACGGAGTCTAGGAGGCAAAAAACGAGGCTTGCCATAAAAACAGAGGGTGTGTGTGTAGCGAATTTTAGTGCTAACTGAGAGTCAGTAGCAGTCTTTATTTCTTTAAATTTTTATATAAAACTAAAACTAAAATAATAAATAATTAGGATTTAGCAATGGCTTTTCCACGGTGTTAGTGTCGCACGAAGAAATGTCAGTTATATATTCTATAGTCTTTGTTCAAGTTTTCGTTACGGTCTCGCATCTAGTTTTGTCGCCTTAGTTTTTTAGTTTCTTTGTTTCGTTATTCAAATTTATAGTACTTTTGCTTAGTCTTTTTTCAATAATGTTCAGTTCTCAGTTGGATGTGTATCGGACAAGACCATATTTATTTTCTGTGCCTCATTTTGTTCCGTAAGTATATTTCTAGGCAACCTTTTATATTTTCTGCTATTTTGTAGTCTTATTTAGTGCTTCAACAGTTTGTATTTATTTTGTTTTGTAGAAACCGTTACCGTTATTTGTTATTATGCTATCAGTCAAGGACATAAAATAAATTCAATGTAACGAGTTTTTAACTGAACTGAGGTTACACACAGCCGTGGCTCTTTATCCGCTGAAATTCCAATTGGAATTTAGAAGTCGATTTTTGCGAAGAGAGAAACAGGGATAATCCAGAGAGAAACTCACGAAACAAATGACAAAAGCAACACTAAGCAATTCGTACATTCTACTCACATACGACACAGTGTCCGGCAGGACTGGAATTGGTAAAAGGCGAGCGTTTATCTAACTATAAATAATGACAACATAGTTAATGCCCTTTGTCGTGGGTGCTGAATAAAGAAGGTAAGACTTACACATTTGTAATTAAGTTAGCGTTGGTGTATTGACGCCGCCAGAAATTATTCCCAAAACTGTCCATCCTTTAGATAATCAGGCGAGGGACAGATACACTTATTTCAATAAAGTTAGTCACCTGAAAAGCTACAAAGCTGAGACCGACAAGGATTATGGGTATATACATTTTACATGTTTCAACCGCTTGATAACTTGTAAACCTCCTTTGAGCATCGTCAACTGCTACAGTTTGTGTCAAAAGCTTTACTTGTTGGATATAAAACATTTCCATGATTCTATACGATGCTATACCCTACGCGTGATGTTCAATGAYATTCCTGCAGTGTGATTTGATGTCCCCACATTGACATTTCTGTACTGATATATTACACAATAAGGCTGTCACTTCTTAATGTAGGGATGTCCTTTTAATGGCAAAAAACGTTTTTGTTTTCTCTCTGGAAGAAAGATGTTGGGGAATGTGCCCCATTTGACCATATGCCAGTGTTTTTAGGATTCGACTTTTTTGTTCCTTAATATTATTGGTGTTACAGACTTCATGCTTAATTCTACAAGCTAGCTTTGGTTTTTGATCTCTTTCTAACAAAGTAAACGTCTGCAGGGATTTAAACTAGATCGAAGATGACCATAATATATCTCTCGTCTCATTTATTCAACTTTTGTATAGGGATAATTTTTTTTTTTTACAATACGGAAACTTTCCCATTGTGCTAACTAGGGAGGCATAATACGCCGGCGCCAACTACTTGATGACATACTACAAGTGGATTATCTGTCCCAAGACTGACGCCATTAGTAGGTCATTCAAGGAAGCTACCTTGTAAAATGGCGAGACGGCTTAAGTGGATCATCCGTTAGGAAGCCAGGTTTAGGTGGTTACACGTTATTCTGTGAAGAAGAACAAGTAGGAATGCTTTGATTATGGCGAGACTGAATAAGTGGACTTTCCTGTTCTAGTTTAGAATGGTACTTTGATATGAAACCGCACTTTTCAATTGATCATGTTTTAAAATATACAGATTATGAAGTGGGATAAGAGACGCAGTGATTTCAAGAATAATACTAAGCTAAAGATTTCTTTAGCCAATTTATACTCGTTTTTAGTGTCGGTCGTCACGCAACGCCTAGCATCCACGATACTTTTGAGATTTCATTTCCATTGTATTTTCAGTCACCATTTTAAAGATATTTTTGGATGAAACCCTACTTTAAAAGAATTATTGTATTGTGCTATTTTCTTCTCCAACTCATGTCATTGTACGGCAAGCGTCCTCCGTTACCATAGTTACGTGACCCCACCAGTCATTGGTCAGTGACATCAGAACCGAAAAATCCTTACTAGTACTCCAGAGCCGGAAAAATAACACAAGAATGGAAATAGCAAGTCTACGTATTGACCGTGGGAATGTGAAACCGGATGTTTCGTCAGACACGTGTACGTCTGAAGGAATATACCAGTCGCGATTTAGGGATCCGAGTTTTGCGTTGGGTTTGTCGTTGGACCCAACGACTCAACACGGGAAACATCAATATAAGAGATATGAGCTTACTTCTGATCACAGTTTTGTGCCTATTAAGGAATAGGTGCTTTCGCTTGTGCGCATCTATTGTTTTATCATAGGTCACGTGACCTTTAATTTTTGCACCATACTCTCACCTCCTGCGTTTAATACACACCAGGATGCTTTTATATTTTCATGTTTCCTCTTCCCTTATTTTGGCTAAAACCATCTTTTCCTTTCTTAACTTGTAACCACCTCATTCCTGATGCTCTGCAACCTGCGCTGTTGTATGATAATTTTCTCCCATATCGATAGTTAACCCGGCGCCACCCAGAGTCCATGCAAAACTATCGTTAGGCCATAACTATATTCAGTATTCCGTAATTTAATAAGTTACACCGGATTGTAGATATCAGTCGTGATACTGACAATTATGTAAGGTTTCTGGAATATAAAAGTGGTAAAACGCAACTGTCCAACCAGGGCTGTTGGGCTGTTGGGTTTGTTGGGCTGTTGGGTTTGTTGGGCTGTTGGG